ACGCTGTATCACAGAGATACATATACTAAATCATTGATAAAAAAATTGAACCATCTGATGAATTTCGGTTTTACAATTTCTATGTATTGATTCGGGTACTCAACAATCAAAGATAGAACATTTTCACTGAGAAAGAGATTCCAGAAGTTGAATTCTATTTTCGCTATCTTAATGTTTCGAGCGCGCTCGGACTGCTCGGAGTTTACCGAGTGTAAAGCCACTGTGTGCAGAAGCTAGTTTCTGGATAGGAATTAGCAAATAAGCTATCCAAGTGCTCCTAAATAGTCGAAGAAGAACAGTCATTCAGATTTTTTTCATTACCAGGAATCACCTTTTCTACATTTAAAATCGATGAAGAAACAAGCACAACCTGAATCGCAAGCATCCCATCGAGGCTTGCGGGTGACGTCACCACTATAAGAGGCTATGCTGCTAATAGTACTAACGTCACTCGCAGGCCTTGCCGACTCGAGAATTGGCGAACGTACGCCTTATAAGGAAAAGCAATCCTATAGTTTATGATTCTTGCTATGCAAGTGTTTCCAAATAGTCAAAGAAAATTTGATCAGTTAATCATTAAACTAAATAGATTTTTTCTCATTATTAGGAAATGGAAATTGTTGGCTTCACGTTTAACTAGTTGGTGGTTAAAAGCTAAATTTTTTCTGGATAGGACTTAGGTGCTCAAGTGCTCCTAAATAGTCAAAGAAAAACATGAATTAGTTATATTATTTGAATTATAGATTTTTTTTGTATTATTATAGGGAACTGAACTACTGGCCTTACGTTTACTTGGGGGTGTAAATATTTGCAGCGAAACTGATAACACTGATAACAGTGGCTATAATGTTGTAATAATTGGAATTAGGTGCTATCTTAGTGCTCCTGAATAGTCGAAGAAAAACTTGAACTATCTAAAACTTCAACTTTTTGGGAGCACTTAAATAGCACCAAATTCCAATACAACATTTTAGTCGCAGTTTTCAGATTCGCTGCAATGCAAATACATCCCCAAGTAAATGTAAAGCCAGCAATTCCTTAATGAAAAAAAAATTTGTACTTCAGTTTAATAATTAACTGATTCAAGTTTCTCTTCAAATATTGAGAAGCACTTAAATAGCACTAATTCCTATCCATAAACATTTTAGCTCTGACACACCACCAACTGAACGTGAAGGCAATAATTTGCCAATAATGAAAAAAAACTGTAATTCAGTTAATAATTAACAGATTCAAGTGTTTCTTTGACAATTTAGGAGCACTTAAATAGTAGGTACCTACCTAAATTCAATCCAAAAACATTTCAGCCTTTAACGGTTTAACGGCCAATTTCATGATAGAGAATTAAAAGTTACTTTAGCTAAATAGACTTTTAGGATGGGATTTTTCTACTTCAAATGGACCTTTATATTTAAAGTTTACTTTAAGTTGATTATGAAATTGGCTGTAAGCCTCTAACACATCCCCAATAAGTAAACATGAATCCAGGAATTTCCTAATATTGAAAAAAAATCTGTAATTCAGTTAATAATTAATGGCTGGTTTATACAACATTTGCATAGTCGTAGTCGTAATCATAGTCTTAGTCATAAGAGTTAAAATAATATTTTCTTATGGAACCGTTTATACACAAATCATAATCATAAGCATAAGCATAACTCAAAGTTGGCAACTTTTAACTTTTATGATTGTGACTAAGACGAGATCCAAACTGCGCAAGCGCCATTATCAGCTGTTACAGGGAAAAACAATTCAAATCTGCTATTTTAGTTCTGTTTGTATTTAAATTGATCTTGAGTCATTCTAGAGTATTAAAAAAAAGGGTCTCCATCGAGCTTCCACATGTCTTTGAATAATGTGGCAAAATGCCCTTCCTTCTGCCTTATTTATTGATGGGACTCACTTTCCACCCTCTTTGTTCATGTTTTGCGTTTGTTGAAGTTGTTTATTAAAGCCACAGCTATGAGTGAAGCAACACTCAAAAATAAATAGGACAGACCTATCACTTGTATGGTTTTCTTTCACAGAATTTTAATTTCCACACTTTTTGAAACTTTGAAAAAGTATTAAAAGTAAATAGAAGAGTTCGATTCGCAAAAAGTAAACAAATTCTCCCTACAAAAAGTAGGGTTAGAGTTGATTTTATTTTATGCTTATGACATTGTATAAAGGCCTTCTAAAATTGTGATTATGATTAAGACTAAGACTAAGACTATGATTATGATTACGACTATGCAAATGTTGTATAAACCAGCCATAACTGATTCAATTTTTTCTTTGACCAGGTATTTAGGAGAACTTTAAAAAGCATATTATCTAAATTCTGATACCAAAGAAAAATTTAAAAAAATATTTTTCACTACAGGGGACTGCTATATTTCATATTAACCTAGCAATCCCTTCGTTTTTTTCCATATGGGACTGCTAGGTTTATTGACCTAATATTCTGGGAAATCAATAAATACAACCCCATATGATTTTAAATCTGGGGAGATACTTTGATAGGTATATGTATTATTGACTTTACATTTATAAATAATTTTACACGTCTGTATAAACTCTACAAGGACTCTACGCTTTAATAAATAAGTATATTATATATTTCTAAAATCTTAACTCTACTGTAGACTGTAGTTAATAAAAATAAAGTCCACAATCATTCACTAAATACAAATACATTTTTTAATTTATTTTTATTATTATCAGCTGATTACACCAGATGTTCCGCGCGCCCGCCGCGTACACAAAACCTTCATAAGCTTCAACTACTCTTGCTACTCCTCCGCGATCATGTTAACTGATCCCGATCATAGCCGATCGCGTTCGTGAGTAGACCATTTGCGGATTAGCACAAATGCACAGTAGCACAAATGGGGTGATCCCGAGCAAATGAACATTAGCACAAATGGGGCGATCGTTTCCCTTTTCAACTTTTGTTTTTAATTTGTCTACAGAGGAAAGTTCCACCTTTATTCTTTAGTTTTGAAACCTGAACCCTGAACATAATGGGTTCGAGAATAGACAAAAACAAGATTTCTATGATTTTTGGTTCTGCATGGCAGGAAATATTTGAGGAAAATCCAATCATGTGGGATTTATTGCTTAAAAATCATTCAAAAAAACGCTTTTATTATATCTTGGAAAAAGTACAAAACCATTCTATGTCCCCCAAGCGATCCACTTTGGGTAAGCGGCTAACTGATTATGAAGACCACCAATTCTATAAACTGTTTAGAATGACAAAAAAAACATTTGAAAACTTATGCTATAAAATGTGTTCAAGTGATACTTGTGGACTTATTATTAAAAAGTATCGGGGAGGTCATTTTCCTATTTTACCAGAGATGTCAATTTTAATTTTTTTGTGGTACATGGGATCAAAAGACACCTACATAAGTATTGGAAATCGCTTCTCTGTATCACCACAAACAGCAAATGATATTGTTAATGTTTGCTTATTTGTAATTATTTCCCTTAAAAAGACGTATATAAAATGGCCAGAGACTGCCGAAGAATTTTTAGAAACAACTAGGACATTTACCCACTATCCAGGTAAGCTGTTTTTGGATTTATTATAATTAGTTTAGTAAAAGTTAATTTGCGTTAATTTGTTTTTAATGAACATCTTTATTCTACCTAATTTTTTTAACCCAAGCCGGATTATGAATAACTTGATAAAAAATAAGTTATTTTCAAGGGGTAGAGGATGTAGACTGTTGTGGAAATACTTTACACAAGCATTTCAATTCTAGTTTAATAGCTACAGAAAAGTAGAATGATCAATGTGTCCATAATCTCTAAAATGACAGAAATCATCTAGGAAATTATATAATATATTGAATTTTTAAGTCTTATTTTTATTTAGGAACAGTTGGCGCAATAGATGGGAGTCATATTTTCCTTAAAGTTTCCAAAGAGCAACAAGACAGTTACATTGATAGGTATACCAGATATTCAATCAATTTGTTGGCCATTTGCAATGGAAAAAGGATATTCACCTACATATTTGTTGGTTTTCCTGGTTCTGCTCATGATTCGAGGGTATGTTGGAACTAGAAATAGTAGGTATATCATGGAAAATTGACGATAATAACCATTTTAGGTTTTCTCAAATTCGTCGTTCTTTATGAACATACAAAATTATGGCCCACAATTGTATTTTCCAAGTCCTGATTACCATTTAGTTGGCGATAGTGCTTTTCCCTTAAGGACTTGGTTGATGACACCATATAGAAGAAATGATAATTTGGACAGGCAAAAAAAACATCACAATTATTTGCTAAGTGCGGATAGAGTAGTGATTGAAAATGGTTATGGTATAGCAAAAAACCGGTGGGCTAGAATTCAGTATGTAAATACGAATTCTGTCGGCAAGGCCTGTGAGATAGTTACAGCCAGCTGCATTTTACACAACTTTTGCTACTTGCAAAATGATGCTTGGGATGAACGGCATATGGATTACAAAAGCAAGGAGAAATCCACAATTGCCTATGATGCCAGCGAGGATGGAAGAAAAGGAAGGGAAAAAAGAGATTTAATAAGTGCTAACCTTAGAGAAATGTAATATTTTTATTATTAAATTTTTACAAATTTGTATAATATTTATATCCATACTGTATCTACCTAGAGGTAATATCAAAAGTTTTAATTTTTATTATTCAATGTTACTTGTATTTCCAAATAAAATCTACTTTTTTCAAATTTAAATTTTTGAAAGTCTTTTATTGGAGCATTGCACCACAGTCTTTATTTGATTTTAGGAACACAAAATCACTCGAACTTAAGTATCTAAATGTTCAAAGAAACAACAAAAACATTAATTAGAGGGTATTATTAAATAAATCTTAAACTGCATTTAGGTATTGTGTAAGGAACGCCTAACACTATAACAAATAGGAACTACCTACCACCAAAAAAACAAAAACAGGAACTTAATAAACATTATTTTAAAGCTTTCTTATGAAAAATCAATAGTAAAAGTAGGTACCTATCAAAATGATTTAGTCACTGTGACTGTCAGAGTCTTCACAGTTGGGGCGTCTTTTTTTTCTGGGAGGTTCTTTAGAGGGAGCCTCGACTGGAGCTATTCTTTTCAAAATATCCAAAAATTCTCGTCTTTGATCATTTTGAGTCACAAGAATTTCTTCTAGTTTTTTAAATTGTTCCTTATCCTGTTTTCTAGCCTTTTCACTTTCTTCTTTAATTATCTGGCAAATTTTGGCTGTAGCTGTTTTTGGGACAATTGTACTGGAAAATCTTTTTTTTATTTCGTTTATTTTGTCTTGTCGATTGTCTGCTTTAGCCTGGACTTCAGCTAATGCTGTTTTGGGCATACTTGGCACTTCAGTGGCTTCCGAGGTAGATTCGCTGATGATGTCTTCACTATCTATCAGCATTCTGGGGTTGGTTTTATCTTTGCTTCCTGTAAAAAACAAAAGCAAGAATCAGTGGGTATACTTCCTTTTTACTCTTTAAAATATTTTTTCTTGAAACATGTGAGACATGAAAAAACCCAATTTTTTAATAACACCATTTTATAATTTATAATAACACTCTTTGTGATATCTGGCTGAAACACATAATTTTATGTGAAGGCAACAAATCCAACAAGTCTATCTGATAATAAAGATTTATCGGTATTTATCAATTTATTTATCCAAATCTTTAAATATGCATGCAATAGGTGAAAAATATTTAAATTTACATTAAAATCACAATTTTTATAAATTTGATGGTACCTAAGTTAACGAACGAATCACTTGTACAAATTATTTGTAGTTTTCAAAGTAGTTTCAATTAAAAATATTTTAGTACCTACCTAATATTCCATGAAGAATGTCAAAAAATGGTGGAGTTTCTATTCTTTCCACACCCGTTGTTTTCAAATGTTTCATATGTTCCAGGTATTTTTTTTGGAGATTGGCCCACTTCTGACGGCATTTTTCTACAGGATCTTTTCCTAGGTTGTAGTTTTCCTCCATAAGTTTTTTTGCAATAATTTTCCAAATGGATGTTTTGGTGGTTTTGGTATCATTAAATTTATCTTTATATTGATCTCTCAAAGAAAGGAAAAGCTCCGTTGCCATCAAATCTTTTTCAGTTGGCTTTTTTTTGCACCATATCTCTTCATTTTCGACATTTTCTTTACCTTAAAATAAGAAAAAAAAAATTACAAAATGTAGTGTTTGAGAAAATAGGTGCATGTCAAGGGGCATATAACTACAGCGTTTCCCTGAAGTAAACCATAAAATAAAACTAATAAATCATGCTTTATTCTCTTAATAACTGCAAGGTTATTCAGATTTTAGGTAGGCACAAGAAATAATTAAAAATTAGAACACATACCATTTTGAACAGAAGAAGTTCTTGATTCACCTAAATCTTGTTGTGGCACATTAAAGTTAAATAATGGTACTTGTGTATCCCTGGATCCCCCAGGAATGGGATATTTGTCAGGATCCAACCTGTTTAAAAATTCAAACGCTGCATGTTGGTCTAAAAAAAAAAACTGTAATACCAAACTCCCACAATATTTTAAGGAAGAGTTTATTTAATCATCATAATTCGCAAACAAATTAAACACTTACCATTCAATAGCAAATTGGCTGTATCAAAATCTTCAGTCATAACTTGGACATCCTGACCCATATAATTTATGGACAGTAAATAACTTTCCCCATTATTAGACATGATTCAAAGTAGTTTATCACCTAATAATAAGCAAAATAAATCACAAAAAAAAGTACTAAAAACGGCCAAATTGTTTTGTTTACAAATAATTGGACGCTTGTCGATTGTCAACCGTTACATACCCTGCTCCCGAGCAGGGTTACTAGCGGTTTAACCGGTGACGTCATTTTACGTCAAACGATCACGTTGCGGTTAATACCAAGCCTCGCTTGGATGAACCGGTATTTACTTTTGGTATTAACCACCCCTCGCTTGGACAGGCTAAATGAAAACAATACACAGAAACACATAACCCAATAACAAAATAGCACCATACGCGACGTTGCCGTCATTTCCAATTTCATGGCTTGTTAACTATAGGAGGCTGTGGCATAACGCAATGTCAACTGATTTTTTACTGACAGTTTGGCACACAGTTTGCGGAACTATGCAATTATTTATGATTTTTCTTTTTGCGTATCCTACTTCCATAATTGTGCGCATATTCACTGGTTTCACTGCTGCTTAGAGATAGGTCCGAACTGTTATTTTGGCATAACAGTTGTAACTGTTACTACTATTTTCGAATAACAGTTTAAAATAACAGGTTGCTGCTATTATGTATCTCCAACTTTTTCCTAAGAGATTGCAGCACTCACTCTCGACAAATTGTCAATGTGGACCTCTTTTGACAAAAAAGTTTCGAATTTCACTTCCATTGGAACTAAAACATCCCAGGCAATAGGTAATTGAAATACAACGGTACATGGAAGAACCACTTTTAGAACGTTCTGGAGATCCATTAGTATGGTGGAAAGAACATTCCTATAACTATCCCAACGAGCGAGTTGGTGAAATTGAAGTTTGGAGCTGTAGCAACTTCTGTCCCACGTGAAAGGATGTTTTCCAAAACTGGACAAATAATATCAGATCGTCGGAACCGAATATCTATAGCGAGAAAGTGAGACAGATTATGTTTATTAATCAAAATAATTAATAAATAATTATTTTATTATTAAACATATCAATCACAATAAAATTATGGTTGAAAGGTTTTTTTTTGTCAAAATAGGAAGAGTACCTACCTTATTTTTTTATTATCTATATCTTATACCTATGTAGTTATTTTTTAAGTACTAACTAAATTTGATTTGTTCCTATGAACCAAAGATTACAGATAATTTTTATTTTGTTCATTGTAGCGTTGAGTGTACATAATTTATTTTATCCCATTTTGACTTTTAAAAATGACATTATTGAACGCATAACAATAAAGGTAAGTAGACGTTTATCACCTCAGTGATTTAAAAACATTTTAACTCACTCTCGGCATTTTAAGTCACTCTGTCCAACTAAAATTCTGACCCCTCAGTGATTTAAAATATTTTTAACTCACTCTCGGTATTTTTCCTTGTACTTTATTTTCTAAATTTTCACAAAATGGGATAAAATTTTGTATACATCACGTGAGTTAAAATGTTTATTCATTCGAAGAAAATTAACCCACTCGCTGGGGCTCGTGGGTTAAACTTTCTTCTCATGAATAAGCATTCATTTAACTCACTTGGTGTGTAAATAACTATTTCGCACCCTTGCTTCAACAGTGACACAACTCAAAAAATGGGCTTTTTGAGTTATTAATGCCAATTAATTAGACAAATTGCGTTCTCTCGATCAACTAAAGTGTATTAAATTAGCTTTTCGAGTTGACCAGTAGATGGCGCTTGTGTCAGTTTTAATGATCCATTCAGGGTAAAAATGTTTTCAGAAAAGTGACACATTATTAGTTATGCCCCGGCTTCCAAGATAGGTGGATGTACGTGTTGCTCTTCAAAAACGACGTCTTTTGAGTTGTGACGTTCTTGTTGAGTGATATATAGTATTTAAAGTGTGTTATTTGGACTTGTGTCAATTTTGATGGAAGAGAAGGCGTTATCAATTTGTTTCATTTGTAATTGTGACATTTTTGAGGAATAAGGTAGGTGGAATAGCTATTTGAATTTTGAATTATGACATTTTAGATGAATTAAATTAAAGAATACCTCGAATGCGTAGTGTAGATTACTACTATACTACTGAATATTATTTACACTTTAACATTACCTAGGTATTATTGACAGCATTAGGTACTAAAAAAATAGTAAACAGTAGGTATGTGAAAACACTAGACTTGAATTTACTTTACAGGTTTTCGCCACGGGCAGCATGTCGTCGGCACGAGCAAAGAAAATTTTAGCTATGGCATCCAAAGCATACGACGAAAATAATCTTACATCTCTGCCAAATACAACATGCTTTACTCAGGTAAACAAACAAAAAATTATTATACTTGCCTGCATTATTGGGCTTTTGGCGCAATCAAAATTCTTTTTGAAAAATTAATGATACTTGCATTAATTTGATCACAGATATTCCAACCAACACTCACAAAAATTAGTCTACATTATTCAGAAAAAAATGTTACATTTTTTTTTTAAGTTACAATAAGCATTTTTATTGTAGGAGACCATTGTCGAAGATACAAGTCTGGATGAAATTTCAGATGATTTCACTCCAAATTCCGAAAAAAATGTCTATTTCACTCAGAAAAAATGCTCAGATTCAACAGAACCGACTGGTTTTTCTCCTGACTGTCAAAATAGTACTCTCTCTTATGACGGAATCAAGAATGGAGTAGTTAACAAAAGTTGTGATAACCAAAATGCCATAGCGCAAACCAGTTTGGCAATAGAAAGTGAAGAAGGTTCTGAAGGTCCGCTCTTTAGTTGAGCTCAGGTAAAATCACGACCGAGCCAAATAGCAAGCAATTGATCGAGGATTTAATGTCCACAACTAAAACTTTTTGAATTTGTAGGCACTTGATTTCGAACGTTCACCTGCGGTTCAAACTCTACCTGACATCATTGAAAATGACGAGAATGTATCAGGAAATTATTCTCAAAAAACCCTTCATATTGATGCGAATTCCTCTGAGCCTCAGAATGAAATACCCCACCCCTTGCCCAATACGGATACCACTGAGCAGCACCAAGAGCCGACTAAGGAAAATGCAGAGGAGCCAGGTTCTTATGTACCGAAGCCAGGTTGTTCTGCGGGGAAGCCAAGTTCAGAATACTCTGTATCATACGATGATGAAAGCCCTACAATTTTACGATTAACAAAAAGGAATTATTATGTTTCACCACTCCATAGCGACGAAAGTGATATTGACGACTCTGATGCCGACCCCAATTTCACGGTCGATAATTCTCCAGAGGCTGGACGAAGTTCACACGATACTGACAAAGAAAATATTCAAAGCGATGAATCTGTGTCAGCAGAACCAGATAATACGAATAAAGGAAAGAAAAGGAAACTGAATGCACAAGAGTGGGGAGTGAAAAAGACGAAGCTACTTCGAAATTCCGGTAAGGCTTATACTTCATGTTCCAAATCAAAGAAGAAGTTTCCTGAGAGAAAACTTCGTCCGGCTTGTACGGAAAAATGTAGATTAGGTTGTTCTGCAAAAATCAGTGAGGCAGTAAGAGAAGATATTTTTCGCACCTATTGGGCCCCAGCCGATCTAGAAAAGCAGAGAGAGTTTATTTCTGCCCATATACTGGAGATATAAAGCCAAAATACCGATATTCAAGTACTCAGAATTTCCGGAGGATGAATACAGCATTTTACTTCGACGTTAACAGTAATCGTATCAGAGTTTGTAAGACATTTTTCAAGGCAACACTTGATATAAACAATAGGCCTATTCGCACAACTGTGATGAAGAAAAGTGATACTGGGTTTCTGTCCCAAGATAGAAGAGGTAAACATGGAAAGCAACTGGTTCTTGCTCCAGAAATAAAAGATAGTGTGAGGAGATTTATAAGAGCAATACCTACAATAGAATCTCACTATCTTAGAGCACAAACAACTCGGGAATACATAGAAGGAGGAAAAAGTTTAGCAGATTTGTACAGAGTCTATAAGGAAGAACGTGAGAGGCATCATTTACCAATAGCAAATTCAGATGGCGAATTTAATATTTCCTTTTATGCCCCGAAAAAAGATCAATGCGATCAGTGTGAATCATACAAAAACTCAGACCAAGAAGGAAAAGCTAAGCTGGTTGAATCTTACAATCTCCATTTGGAAAAAAAAAGCTCTCTAGGGAACAGAAGAGTATTGACAAAAATATAGCAGATAATAATACCCATGTAGCAGTGTATGACTTACAAGCAGTATTGCCTTTGCCAAAAGGATAGGTTTCTTCCTTCTATTACAAAAGTAAACTTAATTGCTACAATTTCACTATAAGTGACTTGTATGCAAAAAACGTGGATTGTTATTTTTGGAACGAGACGGAAGGTAGACGTGGTGCAGTGGAAATTGGCAGCTGCATTCTTCATTACTTGAAATCGCTTGCTAAAAATCGAGAGACGGAAGACCTGAACGTAGTATTTTATCCCGACAATTGCTGCGGCCAGCAAAAAAACAAGTATATACTTGCTGCCTATTTTTACGCCATAACCAACTGTAAGATACGAAGCATAACACATAAGTTTTTAATACACGGCAATTCCCAGAATGACCCTAATTCGAACAGCGAAGAAGAATGGTCCTCCATATAGAGTTCACGAATTCACGTTTGAAGACTTTTTTGATCTCAAAATTCTGCAAGAAGAACTCGGCAGTAATTTTAACATGAATACTGACAAATCAAAGGTGAAGTGGCACGACATAAAAATTATTCGGGTTGAAAAAGATGAACCGCGTATTTTTTATTATAAAACATCTTATAAAGATGATAACTTTAAGATGGTAGACGTTCTCAAAGCAAAAAAGACTCGATCCCAAGATAGGTTCGACTCCAAACAGTTAGTTCGAGCCTATGGGAAAAATTTAACGCTAACCGAAAACAAGAAGCGTGACCTACAAGAATTTGTTACAAAAAATATCATTCCTAAAAGTTATTATAACTCATTTTATAAAAATGTTTTTGAATTTTAATAAGTTTCGATAGGTCTAAATAAAAAAATTTGTTTTTTTGCGTTTATTTTTCGATTTTTATTTATTCCAATCTGCTAGATTGGTAATATTTCACTGTTAGTAAATAAACTAAATATTGATAAATAAATTTGGGCTGCTTCTAATTATTTTCCTTACCGTATATACAAAAAAAAATTATATCACAAACAGATTGAAAGTGAAAATGTTATATCCAGTAAATCTTCAAAAGTGTCCTTTTGTGAAAAATCATCAACAAAAGTGTCTTAATTCAAAATATTTTTTATCAAATATATATCAGGAAACATCACATCAAAAGTGGCATAACTCAAAAAATTTAATTTTTCGGAATTTCAAGGACACTTTCTAATTATAATCAATGACAGGATGCTTCTGAATGACTATGTAATTCATAAAAAACCTTATTTTACCTTAATCTATTTTAATAAGTTTTAGAACAGTTTTTCTCGATTTCTGGAAAACTATCTTTTTTGAGTTGTGTCACTTTTGAAGCAAGGGTGCGATTTGTCTTTCAATAAACAAAAAAATTGAAAAAAAATTTCAATAATGGGAGATGGGAGTTTGTTTTTTTGCTTATGAATATAAAACTCTCCTCGCATCCTCTGGGCGTGATTCTCTTTTTCCAAAGCCCTAACCGAAATTAAAAAAGGAAAAAATATGCAATAATCGTTATATTATCTATTATCCAATTGTTAGGTTATGTTATTTTATTTGATAAATAAAAAATTCCCGCGTGCCAAAATTGTAACAGAAACCTGTTATTTTTCATTATCGACAACAGTTCCTGACTGTTATATAGAAATAACAGTTACAAAATAACCCATCTCTACTGCTGCTGCTGCTGCTGCTTTCCATCAAGGCAATTGCCTTCAACAAGCGACTTTTGACATTTTTGGTAGTAGATTCGCAGACAAATAAAAAAAACTCAATAAAAAAATACTATTTAGGACTGTTTTTTTATGAAAAATCATCAACCACAAATAACCTCAATTTCAAAAATAACAATAAACTGCACTGAGTGCGACGGCAACATGTATTTGGCCGACCAAATGTTAATTTTTCAATATTCGCCATACTCAATCGTTTGGTGGTCGTTTGGTGGTCTTTGGTATCCCACTTTTAATATTTGGTGGTAATTACTTAGGCAGTAATTAACAATTAAAAATTTCATATGACGTTGGCCGACATAACCTGATTCTAATTTATTTTTTGGCCCATTTATAGTCAAATCGAACGGAAATCGTTTGGTGGTCACGAATTTACCGAATTTAGCGTTTGTTAGTCAATAATACCGGAGTAATTAATCAATTAAGATTGTTTTCTGATATATTTTAATTAATCGTCGCGCATGCGCATATATTATCTGTTTTTCATTGAGCCGCCTCGATCGCGGCGTTGCCGTTGCGATCCGGAACTGGCGGTGGGCTAAGTAAATCACGATGTATACCTATTTTCAGTATTCGAGTAAGTATAGATACCTACCTAATTAATCGTTGATTGTAATGAAATAATTGATTTGATTGAAAATTATAGAATAGGTAGGCAACGCCGCGATCGAGGCGGCTCAATGAAAAACAGATAATATATGCGCATGCGCGACGAATAATTAGAATATATCAGAAAACAATCTTAATTGATTAATATCTCCGGTATTATTGACTACCAAACGTTAAATTCGGTAAATTCGTGACCACCAAACGATTTCCGTTCGATTTGACTATAAATGGGCCAAAAAATAAATTAGAATCAGGTTATGTCGGCCAACGTCATATGAAATTTTGAATTGTTAATTACTGCCTAAGTAATTACCACCAAATACTAAAAGTGGGATACCAAAGACCACCAAACGACCACCAAACGACCACCAAACGATTGAGTAAGGCGAATATTGAAAAATTAACATTTGGTCGGCCATACACATGTTGCCGAGTGCGACACGAGCTTTTTAGCCGGTGGCGCACTAGCAGCACTCGGTGCAAATCTCGGCGCATTGCTCTCCCAATGAAATACAAAAGTGCAGCGCGACTCTGCCAATGGATCACGAATATTGCACCAGTGTTGCACTTGGTCTACCAATGAAATACGCTATCAGGGCGGCTTCTCATGAGCGTAATTTGACATTTATGGCGTGACAGCGTACCTGAATGAGAATTATTGGCCAACATCCCGCCATATTGGATACGCTGACACTCTGCTGCAGATACGCCAAAAGTTGAGCAAAGTTCTACTTTTCGCGTAAAAATTCAGCGTTTTTAGAGGTTAGGTTGCAACCGTTCCATTTTCTTGATTTTTGTAATTTACTGTCCATATTTGTAACTATTTGGAAATAGAGCAAAAACAAATACAAATTTGTACAATCAAAATTCAAAGAAATATTTCAAAATTTAGAGAGCTCTCTTTGAACCTCCTCTAGATATTGGAAAGCCCTTGGCATTCCACCTTCATCGCATACAAAACAATTCATTCTGTGTGAACGGAAAAGAAAATATGAGTTTGCTGAAAATCAGATTTTTTGACAAAACTTTTAAACTATGGTGACAGCTACGATAATTATAGAACTGTTTTGTGTCCTGACTCTCAAGGTCTCAAGGGGGTCGGGAGCTCGCCTTCTTCACCATCTTTTTTCTTGGGGTAAAGGGGTAAATCCTTATATTTTATTCGAAAGAAACTTTCTAGCTGAAAAGGAAACAATAATTTTCGGTCTTTTTCCAAGCTTTCTTTAAACCTATTTACTGAGTCTCCTATTGGTCGGGGCAGAGTGGGCCCATGGTATCTTTTGTTTATTTTCCCTAGCTCTACAACATATTAAAATTTAAAAAAAATCGACTGGCCTTTATTTTCCATATAATCCGTGCCATGTCCTTTTGAAATATTTCTTTGAATTTTGATTGTACAAATTTGTATTTGTTTTTGCTCTATTTCCAAATAGTTACAAATATGGACAGTAAATTACAAAAATCAAGAAAATGGATCGGTTGCAACCTAACCTCTAAAAACGCTGAATTTTTACGCGAAAAGTAGAACTTTGCTCAACTTTTGGCGTATCTGCAGCAGAGTGTCAGCGTATCCAATATGGCGGGATGTTGGCCAATCAGAATTCTGCATTCAGGTACGCTGTCACGCCATAAATGTCAAATTACGCTCATGAGAAGCCGCCCTGATAGCGTATTTTATTGGTAGAGCAAGTGCAACACTGGTGCAATATTCGTGATCCATTGGCAGAGTCGCGCTGCACTTTTGTATTTCATTGGGAGAGCAATGCACCGAGATTTGCACCGAGTGCTGCTAGTGCGCCACCGGCTAAAAAGCTCGTGTCGCACTCAGTGCAGTTTATTGTTATTTTTGAAATTGAGGTTATTTGTGGTTGATGATTTTTCATAAAAAAACAGTCCTAAATAGTATTTTTTATTGTGTTTTTTTTATTTGTCTGCGAATCTACTACCAAAAATGTCAAAAGTCGCTTGTTGAAGGCAATTGCCTTGATGGAAAGCAGCAGCAGCAGCAGCAGTAGAAATGGGTTGTTATTTAACTATCTGTTATTTTGTAACTGTTATTTCTATATAACAGTCAGGAACTGTTGTCGATAATGAAAAATAACAGGTTTCTGTTACAATTTTGGCACGCGGGAATTTTTTATTTATCAAATAAAATAACATAACCTAACAATTAGATAATAGATAATCAGGCTTATGATGTATCATTTCTGTTATTTTAACAGCAACGTTAAGTTATCTGTCACTGTTTATTCTATACATCAAAATAGAGAGAGGTATGCTGTTGAGCTATAACACAGCTGTTAAAATAACAGGAGAGGATACATCATAGGCCTGATTATAATGATTATTGCATATTTTTTCCTTTTTTAATTTCGGTTAGGGCTTTGGAAAAAGAGACTCACGCCCAGAGGATGCGAGGAGAGTTTTATATTCATAAGCAAAAAAACAAACTCCCATCTCCCATTATTGAATTTTTTTTTCAATTTTTTTGTTTATTGAAAGACAAATAGTTATTTATACACCAAGTGAGTTAAATGAATGTTTATTCATGATTCATGAGAAGGAAGTTTAACCCACGAGCCCCAGCGAGTGGGTTAATTTTCTTCTAGTGCGGAAAAGTGACACATGTCAATTTTTAAATTATGAGCCGACACACTTACACAAATATCAGCATTG